ATCTTTGATGTTACTTCTCCTTTGTTCTCTTTTGACTGCCTTTCTAGGACTCTGAAGTGTCATATGTTAGACTTTTTCATTCTGTTCTCCATGTCTGTTAACCTCTCTTGTGTTTTGTGTCTTGTTTCTCTATGCTACATTCTGAGTAATTTCATCATAGCTGTCTTCTAGTTTACACATTCTATCTTCAGCTTTGTCTAATTTGCTATTTAATTCATTCATTGATTTTCTAATTTCACAGAAAGTATTTTTGATTTCTAAAGCTATATTTGGCTCTTTTTGAGATCTGCCTGTTTTAGTTTTGGTTTGTTTTTTAAATAGATTCTTGTTGATTCTTTCAGAAATATTTATTGAGTACCTATTATATGCCAGGCACTGTTCTGTGAGGTGGAGATTATATTCTGATATTCCTTGCTTTTCTTTTTTGTTGTTGTTGATTCACTCTTTTAGTCATTTTAAAATGTACAATTCTGTAGTTTTTAATATTCAAGTGTTGTACAACCATTATCACTATCTAATTTCCAGAATATTTCCATCACCCTGTTGGTAACTTCATACTCACTAAGCATTCACTCCATATTCTGCCTCCCCCTAGCCGCTTGTAACCACTAATCTACTTCTGTCTTTGTGGATTTGTCTGTTGTGGACATTTTATGTAAGTGGAATCATGCAATATGTGGCCTTTAGTGCCTTCTTTCACTTAGCATAATACTTTTAAGGTTCATCCATGTTGTAGCATGTATCAATACTTCATTTCTTTTATTTCACTGCATGGATAATGCTGCATTTTGTTTGTTCATACATCAATTATTTCTACTCTTTGGCTATTGTGAATTTTGCTACTGTGAACATTGTATACCAGTTTTTGTGTGAACATGTTTTCAATTCTGAGACATTATTTTATTTCCTAAATGTAAGGCTGGACACTGTAAAACTCCTAGAGGAAAACATACGCAGAACACTGTTTTAAACATTTTATACCTGTTTTATGTATTGCATTTGATAATTCCAATTTGAAGTCCTTGGGTATTTGAATCTGTTGTTTTTGCTGAATCTCATGGTAGCTAATTTCCTCTGAAGCTTGGCAATTCAATATTTTGAGCTTAATATTTTATATTTTTAATACATTTTTGTTTTCATACCATATTACTTATAATGTTATCTGAAAAGCCAAAATAGTAGAATCAGGTAACATAAATCCACGAGACTGGGTTAATGTTTTTTTCCTGAGGGGGAAGGAAACAGCAAGATGCTATAAATAGAGGCAGCAGGAGTACAGAGTTCACAGATGTTTCCTACTTTACAGGACTGAAAATGTCCACATAGGGCTTTTGTCTGCCTGAGTGTTGTTTCTGGGTGTAGATTCCATATTCCATATTGTGTCTCTGGGGACAGTGAATCCCCTTAGAGGACTAGGGTCTTTAGGTCACTAAGCTAGTGGGATTTAAAAAACCTGGTATTTGGAGTGGTTGAGAAGTTAAAATAATCTGTTTTTTCTTAGCAACCCAAAACATGAAACTCTTACTCTAGTCTCCCACGTTTCTGTTCTGACAAACCAAGAAAGTTGGTGAAAATGTCAAAAGGAATATATATAAAAAAAACATTTTGGGTAAGAGTGTTTGAGTCTGAAACAAAAATTTTGCAGGTGCATTGTCCACTTTTGGGTGTTCAAGCAATGTTTTTATTAAATTTAATTGGTAGCATAGTCATTTTAATCCTTTAAATTATTGGTTCTTATACAGACTTTGTTTACTGGGATTGTTTAATAGGAATTTACATAGCACAAGTTTGCTTTCAGAATCCAGATGTCCTTTTTGTGTTCAGTTCTTCCTTTATTTACCCTTTCTTTAATCCAAAAAATATTGTGAACTATTGCAGTAGTACCTGAACTGAGTTCTTTGCGTTACATTTTTCTTTTTCCCCGTCCTGCACAGTGCTGTCAAGTTTTTTTTGTTTTTGGGTTTTTTTTAGTGAAACACTCCAGCTCAAAAGGATATATATACTCTTGAGGGCAATCCTGGCTAACCTGGCATTCTTGTCTTTTTAAAATGTAGCCTATGATCTTTCTTTCTAGAACTGTCTTATACATTTCTCCTAGTCGCTCCTCACCCGTGGCCAGTAGTGAGTACTCTGATGCCTGCACATTGTCCATCAGGTTATAACTCTGCCTTTGCTCATGATGTTGCCTCTTCTGTGATGTCTTTCCCGCAATCTCAGGCTCTTGGCAATGTACTCATCCTTCAAAATCGATACCTCTGATATACTCTGAAGATGTTTCTCAATCACAAATTAATTGTATTTTTCCCTTTCTGTTGCTTTGTAAATCTTTTCAAATCCTTTCCTATCTTATCTAATTATTGATATTCCTTGTGTCACTTTCTCAACGCAATTATAGACTTCTATTGTTCAAGAATCTTGTGTTGCTTGTCTTTCAAGTTACCTCCGGTAAGGCAAATTGCCTTACGTGTGAAGATGTTCATTAAATATGTGAAGAATTAAATTATAGCAACACGTTTCATGTGGGATTAGTCTGAACTCTTGAAAGGCAACATTTGTGTCATGCTTGTTTTGTATCTCCAACATCTACCATACTACCTTAGCAATTAATAACATATCTTTTGAATTGCTGAGGAAAATAAAAAAAGTCTTTCGTTTGGTTCTTGTATATTAGTTTCAAGGAACAATCAACAGGGTGATTTAACAGTTATTTAGGAGAATTCTTTTAGTAAGATTGAAAACTAAGAAATTCTTATTTGACTGGAATCCTATTAGCTGAGTTGGTGGAAGGAGTTTTTAACTAATTCATTAGCAGTATTCCCTTAAAAGATGATCAAAAACCTTTTGTTTTCTTTGTAATTAGTAGAAACTGCTGTGTGTCCACCTTATGGTGAATAATAAAGCAGATTAAACTTCTTCCCTCTTCCAAAAATGCAGGTTCTTGTTAAACCTTTGGGAGACCGAGGATTTCTTTTTCTTCTCTCTCCTTGTCAAATGGTTTCTCCATATGGTAGGTGATCTTTTCTTTAACTTTTACAATTACTATTTTAAATAACTTTTTAAAAGTTAAAACATATTGCTAATGAATTTGACTTTTTTTTTTTAGAACATCAAACTGCCAAGTCTCGAGTCTTACATGCTTTGTTTCTGTTTCAAGAACCTAGGAGCATAGTTACTTGTAAGTTTTTTGAATATCTGTATCTAGTTACTTATAGATACCTACATTTTATTAAAAATTTCCAGATAAGTCACTAAGCATTTTATCTTTCTAACATGTTTTGGGAAATAATGAGCGGTATTAAAAGGCGTTAGCAATATAAAACACAAATTATATGACTATTTTTAACTATGGGAAATTATTTTGGTATTGCCACTGTTTTCTTTAAGTAAATGTTGATTGTAATTGTTATTATAGTTTTTCAGGGTTTATATTATTATGTGTTTTTTTTTTAAAGCTTAGTTCCTTTTTGCATTCAAATTTTAGTGGTTATAAATGCATCATTTGCTAGGTTAGATAGCAGGCCACTCAAAGTTAATACAAATTTTCACACTGTTATCTTCTGTTCACCATTTCTAAGAATGAACTTTAATGCTGCATTAAGGTAAAGTTCCCACTAATGTGTTTCACTGTTAGCTTAAAAATGAGGTTCTCTGTTGTAGCCACTCAGTGCCTGCATATTTGCTTATGGGGATAGAGAATGAATGTAAAGTTTAAGTTATGTTACAACAGGAAGGAGTGACATTGCTGTCATTTGCAGGACTGTCTTGCTAGGAGCCTTGGGTCTTGTCCTGCCTCTTTATTTCTCCTTAGATTTTTCTTGCCACCATCGATGCCTAGGGACAGTAGGAAATGAAGTTCTTAACCAGGCAGGTGTATTTCCCTTTAAAAATATGCTCTGCAATTTTCAGTTGTTTTAGTTTTTTATTGGCCCGTTTTAGGCTCCTGGGCTTAGAAATATGCTATTCATGTGTTTCTGTATTAGGATATGTACTGGTTTGGTCCACCATTAAAGTATGGAGGTTGTTACATTCCTCTGACATATGTAGATCTGGACTTGATTAGTTTCTTGAGTACTAACATGGTTTGCTTTTTTGTTTGTTTACAGCACAAAAAGGTTCAACCAATGCAACACCACAGGAGAGACACGAGAGCATGCCAGATGTATTAAAAATAACTCAGTTTTTACAGTTTGCTTTGATTCAGTGTCGAAAGGAATTCAAAAATATAAATACTATAAATTTTCATTCTGTTGTTGAAAAGTATGTAAGTGAATTTTTTAAGCGAGGGTTTGGTTCAGGTAAACGGGAGTTTATCATGTTCCCATATGATTCACGATTAGATGATAAAAAATTCTTATATTCAGCTCCAAAAAATAAATCCCACATAGATAATTGTTTGCATACCTATATTTTTCGTCCTGAAATGTATCAGTTACCTATTTATAAATTAAAAGAGTTATTTGAAGAAAATAAAAAACTTCAACAGTTCAGTCCACTTTCAGATTATGAAGGCCAAGAAGAAGAAATGAATGGTACAAAAATGAAATTTGGAAAACGAAATAACTCAAGGGTTGAAACTATTACACCTGGAAAGCAGAAGTCATCTCACTCTTTGGATTATGATAAGGATAGAGTCAGAGAATTGATTAATTTAATTCAGTGTAGGAAAAAAAATGTGGGTGGGGACTCAGACACAGAAGAAATGAGAAGCAAAACCGTCTTGAAGAGGAAGCTTGAGGACCTACCTGAAAATATGAGAAAGCTCGCCAAAACCAGTAATATATCTGAAAATTGCCACCTTTATGAAGGTAAAATATCAGAATTGATTTTATATAGTATAAAAGTAACAGCTAGAAATACAGTAAAGTAGTTCTGTCCCTTCTCACACAGGGGTTTGCAAATTATAGCCTGAGAGCCAATCCCAGCCAGGTCCCAATTTTTGTAAAGGAAGTTGTGTCGGAATACAGCCATGCCTATTCATCATGTGTGTATAGCTGCTCGCATGCTGTAATGGCAGAGTTGGGACGAGACTATGGTCCATGAAGCCTAAAATATTTACTGTCTGGTCCTTTACAGAAAATATTTGCCAGCTCCTTCCGTAGTATATCAGATTTCTGAATTGTGCAGCTGAGGCTAATATGAAAAAAATAAAGTTACGTTCAGCTGTTATCCTACTAATTGGAGCACCTATCCTTTTAGATTCCTTTAGTTTTATAACTGAAAAAGTATGCTGTAGAATATTGTGTACTTTTAGGATGTTGCTTAATGAAAGGAACCTTCTGAGCTTTAAAATAAAAATTTTTTAAATGCACACAGTTTTCTTTTCCACCCCAAGTAGTTAAAAAAAAGTTTGGCTTTTTATTTTTTCTATTTTTCTTCACTTTGTTTTAATTGACAGTTAGAAAAAGATAGAAATGAGAAAACTTTCTCTTAAAGTGTTTTCAATATTACAAGTAATTTAAAACATTTTTCATCTAGATTTTTAAGATCATAACACTGCCAGTTCATAAGCATGAAATGTGTTCTTTTGGATTCAGGGACCTTTGATTTAGCAGTGTTCATTTTGTACCACTGTAGATCTAACTGTTCTGTTCCTCTGTTTATTACTAAGCAGTTTCACTCACATACATTTTCAAATTCTGTGTGTCTCAGAACTGACTAAGTTAGTGCCCTTATGCTGTTCTCTCAGCAGTCTGTATCCTCAGTTACTTTGCATTTATCTGCTCTCCTTTACTTCCTCTCTTCCTGCACTATCCAGTGTGGTAGCCACTAGCCATGTATTGTTATTTAAATTTAAATTAATTAAAATTAAATAAAAATTCATTTCCTGCATTAAACCAGCCGCATTTCACCAGCCACACCAATGTTTTGAATAGCACAGGACATTTCTGTCACTGTGGAAACTTCTGTCTGACAATGCTGTTCTCTTCTATGACTTTCAGGGCTTTTTCTTTACTTGACCTGTGTTCTCTTTTTTTTTTTTTTCCCCCCAGTATTTCATCCTTGACCATGTGCTAGTGGCCTTCCTGGCTTCTAACACTAACTTCATGTTCTTCTCAGGATTGTTCTGCTAATTTGCTACCAACCTCAGCTTCTGTATTACTTTTTCAAGGCTTTGTTGTAGACTGGCCGTGTCCAGCCTGGGTAGCCGTGTTTCCAACTCTCCTTGATTAAGTCTCACCTCTCTCCTCAGAATATGTCATGGTCAGCCCTTTACTTCTCTTTATTTTTTCCTGAAGCAGCTTTCATTTCTCTCAAGCCTCATGCCTTTGCAGTTCAGATCCCTCCTTAGCTTTCTAGCTGCTCTGCTCCTTGATGGATTTCATCTCCTTTAGCTTATGCAGGATTTCTGCTCTGTGCTGAACCTTTTGGCACTTACTGAACCATACTGTCTTACACTGTTGACCTGTGACTTGATAGTTAAGTGCTTACTATGTGCTAGGTACTTTACATGTATGGACTCATTAGTTCTTCAGTGGTAGATGTTATTATCTTTATTTTACAGGTAGGAAAACCATCTCAGAGAATTTAAATTACCTAAAGTTACATAGTTCACTGATCATGTTTGAACTGTTTTGACTGACTCCAAGGATTGTTCCTAAACTCTGCTGTATTTCCTTGTACTGAGCACATAATAGGCAAGAAGATACTTAAATTTGGGCACTGTTTTAGTGGATAATTGATAAAGTTGTATATGTGAAAAAATAGTTGTGGTTGAAAATCAGACTTTTGTCAGTAATTAAAATGGTGGGAAAGCCATGCTAATTATAAGTAGAGCAAAGTAGAAATGGGGCAGGGGAGAGGGGTTAGACAGGTTAAATAGGTTAAAATAGAACTGGTGTTCAGACTTGCGTATCTGGGTGTTTCTCACTTGTGTTTGTTTCTAGTCATTTTCCGCACTTTATTTCTGATTCTGAAAGTAAGAAGTTTAAAGGTTTTGAAAGAAAAAACATTTAAAGGTTGGATTCTAACTTTTAAAATACCCTGATCTTAATTTGGTGATGTGCCCACTCATTTTATTAAGAAGTAACCTTCTATCTCGCCTACACCCTTTAGCATGAGCTTGTTGAGGTATGATTTATATAATATACCCATTTAAAGTGCAGTTTGATGAGTTTTTGATTGCTGTGTTAACCACCACTCAAATATATGAAACATTTTTCATTATGCCCAAATGTTACCTTGTCTTCCATTGTAGTTGCTCTCGCCCCACTCCACTGCTGATCTGCTTTCTGTCTCTATCAATTAGTTTGCCTTCTCTAATATTTCATGTAATTAGAATCATACAGTATGTACTATATTTTTTATTTTTTCTATTTGGCTATGGTACATTATATATTACCAGAATTGGAAATTCTGACATCTATCCAGGTTTTACTCTCCTTCAGCATTTGAGTAGCTTTTCTGAATGTATGCTCCCTTTGCAAGTTTTTAAATATATTAATGGTGCAGATTACCTAGATTTATACCTGCTTGGAGCCATGGGTACTAAAAAGCACTTTCTCTCATAGTGCTTCTTGTTCTTAGTGCAGGTTTGGTATAGATTTCTTTGGGATAATTTTGATCTCTAATAACTCAGCTTTGTTATGAATTAAGTAACCTAGTCATTTAAGATAAGGCTTAGGTTATAAGAGGGTTAGCCAGCATCTTCAGGGCAAAAGGTTATGGGTATAGATAGAGGAGATCAAAGTCAAATTAAATCATGGGACTTTGTTGTTGTTTTTATTTTTAAAATAGATTTCAGTGTAATCTGTATATCTTCCTCTAACATTTTGCAAAATAGTAAGTGCACTCATTTTATCTGTTGAGCACCTGGTTGATTTTGAAATTTTTGGTGGTAGAGTTTAAGGTAACTGCAGTACAGTTATTTATATGTATTACCCATATTACCAAC